AGGCCCAGGTCCAGCCGGAAAGAGACTTAAGGAGACTCCCTGCCATCCAGAAAGAAGAGCTGGGGCTTAAAGAAGGGCCATTCCAGCTGCTGGGCACCCAAGTTCATCTTCCACCAAAGGAGAGGAGTCGCCTTCGGACACGTTTCCGCTACCTCCTTCACAGTTCAGCTCATCAGCCCAGTGTTCCTGCAGCCGTAAAGGGAAGGTAGGCAGTTAGATGGGATGCATTAAAGACGTCAAAATGGAACTGATGAGGATTAGGGCAGAGAATGATGGGCGTCCACAAAGCGGGAACAGGTTCCCTTCTTACCTGTACAGGTTTTCTTTGTTTCTGAACAGGAGCCAAGAAAGCATGTCCAGAGGATTATAAAGAGAAAAGGTTTAGAGGAGGAGGAAGGGTGGTACTTTCAATACACAGAGTGAGGCTTCTAGCACAAAGCAGGCCTAGGAATTCTGGTGGAAGAAATTTACCTGGGAGGAGGTGGGGTCGGCCTCTAGGTCTCCGTAGCACCCTTTATGGTGGCGAATCAGGTCTCCCCAGAGCACAAGATTCTTGCAGCTAGGAAGGAAGAAATAAAAATGGGAATAAGTGGGTGTGGTAGTTGTGAGGGGAAACTGGTGTCAGCAGTCAAAGCGAGACACCTCTTTCATTCTGCCAGGGCACAGGAGGGATTGCTTACCCTGGGCACTGCCCTTCTACGGGCAAGAACTGATCAGGTTCCTTCTGTAGGAAAGTTCGGGCCAGGCAGATAACATGGGCTGCCATGGAGCAGCCAGCGTGGAAACAACGCAAGGGGATATCCTCCTCCTCCCCATCCTGCAAAGAAAAAGGTTCCTGTTGCAGTGGGGTGCTAGTTTGCTGCAAGGACAAAAGAAGAGTCTGGTGGCACTTTTAAAGACTTGACAAGTATCGCCGTGTTCCCTCTAAGCTGTGGAGTCTTGTGAGCAAAAATTCTACTTTGTGTGCTGGTGGCATTAAAGCTGTGAGCCAGCCATTTGGCTGCTGCATCAATTAGTTTGCTCTGGAGCCATCCTTCCTGAGCTGAGACAAAGATCTGTGAGCCGGAGGCTAAAAAACTGTGAGCTAGCTCACACTAACTCAGCTTAGAGGGAACAGCCTTCAGGGGCTCAGGCCCGCTTGGTCAGAGGCATGAAGAAATATGATCCCCATTCCCTCGCTTACAGCTAAACTTGAAACCTACACTGAATCATCAGTCCACCAAGGTCAGTCTTGTCTACTCAGACTGGCAGCAGCTCTCCAGGGTCTCAGGCTGATGTCATCCACATCACCTGCCACACCTGGTCTTTTTAACTGCTGGGAATTGAACCTGGGACCTCCTGCATGCAAAACAGGCTCTTCCACTGATCCACGGCCCCCCTCCCTCATCCTTGTGCAACACAGGCACAGAAGACTGGTTGTCCAAGACAGGAGATGGGTGTATTGGATCAAAGGCTGTCACCCAAGTGCCCTGATTTCTCAGCCCTATCCCCCCACTTCTAGGCCAGAATCTCCCACCAGGCCCTTCAGACCTAGTCACTGGTTCACTTCAGCTCTTAACCAAACAGAAGCAGTATAAAATGAAATAAATAAAAAACAAACCCTGCTCCCAAGTCAAGCAACAGGCCTTGCTTCTTAGCCCCTCTTCCTCTTGCTGAAGGATCCTGCCCTTGCAGAACTGACATTACCTGGAACCTTTTCAGACAGATGCTGCAGCGTTTTGGAGTCACTGGTAGTTCTTCGGAGGACTCTGTCCTCGCTCCCTGGGTTCCTCTGACAGCACGGACTTGACCAAAGGCTACTGGCATGTGTAAGGGAGGTTCCAAGCCCGGAGGAAAGTCTCGGTGGTATTCCTGCTTGAGCCAACGTATGGTGAGGGGCAGGCGGCACCAGGGGGCAGTTCGGAGCATGTGGGCTAATACACGTAGGTGGAAGTCAAACTGGCGCTCCTTTGAAGTGCGGCGGGTGACGTGGGTGAGACGGCGGGAGGCATGTGGGTGCTGCCAAGCCCATTCAAACTGCAGCAGAGTGACGAGATGGGGAATCAGTTTGGCACTGTGGTTTGTGTTAAGTTAGCAGGGGGGGGAATACCCCATTGTTAAGGGAGCTCAACACCTGTGAGCTGAAACAGAGGAACACCTTACCCGCAGGGCAGCCACATCAGAGGGGAAGCCATGAATTATCAGCACCATGTCCCTACAAGGAGAGATGAAGGGCAGATCAATTTCCCAGCATGCACAGCTCAGGAGGTCCAATTCCCAGCATGCACTAGAATGCCACAGAACGGCCGGCCTCCAAAGCAAGACACACAAGGTGGAATGTGCAGACAGGCAAAGGAATTACCAAGGCCCGCGGCCACTTGTCTTCCAAGCCCCTCCACGACGCTTCCCAGCGTTATGCTGACTTATCCGTCGTTCAGGATTCACAGTGAAGCCAACGTAAACTCGGCCATGGTAACGGGGGTTGGTGCAGTACAGAAGGTAGACTCCAAAGAAGCTGCACACCTCCACCACCATGGCCGCCACAGAGGGATTCGTTGTCGGCTAGGGATGAGAGATCTGGAGGCAGAAAGACTGTGTTAAAAGAAGCATCTCTGCTGCACGGGGTCTCCCCTCATTCCAACACCTCTTGGTTTCCACCCTGCTTTGTGCCCTGCCGGTAGGGTTGCCAACCTCCTGGCACGGTCTGGAGATCTTCTGGAGTGACATCTTATTTCCAGATGACAGGCAAAATGACTACTTTGGAAGGTGGACTCGATGGCATTATACCTTGCTGAGGTCCCTCCCTCAGCCTCACCCTCCCAAATCTCCCAGGATATCCCAACCATGAGTCGGCAAGCCTACCTGCTGTCCCGATTTATCCTGATACAGCTCCTGGAACTTTAACAGTTGCATCACAACAGGTAGAAATTCAGCATCTCTAGGCTGAGGGAAAACATGCTTGAAATGCTGCCTGTTTCACAGCACAAAAACCGTACCCGTGAGAAAACTCGGTGTTTCCCTTACCTGACAAGCCCACCTGGCTTTACTAACTCTGACACTTCCCATCACCCCCTGCGCCTTTCAAACAGCGGTCTCCCCGTTTCGCATTGCCACTTCCCATCATGCACTGCGCCGTTCCACTACCAGGACGCGCCCGCCTATACTCGAGGAGTGCCCAGTCAGTCGTTGCCTGGCAATGCTACCCCTCTACCCCTAACAACTCTTTGATTTTATTTTTTATTTTTTGGCCGTTTCCTTCCTTTTCTACTGGCTAGTTGGCCGAGCTATCCCGCCCCAAAGGAAACGACTGGAGTCAGGTGGACCGGTTTTTTAAAAAAAAATAGGCGTAGTCGGAAATGATGTAAAGTATGGGCGGAAATGGAACGCTTTGCGGAGAGTACCATAGAGACTGGGAAAATCTTGAGGCATACTTCATAGCCTTACAGTCTGTAGTTGACCTGGTTTTCCAGTCTTCATTGACGAGGCAAATTTTAGAGGGGCTTCACCATAGAGACGTGGCTTTGAGCCCAAGGAGACCCACGCCTTTCATTTTTACCGGAAGTTGAAGCTACACTTTAAAAGAAATAGGTGTGACAGGAAGATGACAGAGATGTAAAGTTCCACTAGGGCATGATTGGTTCAACAAGGCGGAACCCTAAGTATAGGGGGATGTGACGTACACCATAGGGGGAAATGGGGCTGGTGGCTGTTCTCTTTCATTCGCCGTGTCTTTGTAAATAGGATGGAGGCGGCTGGAGACCTCAGCGCGGAGTCTTTGCGGGAACGGCTGTTGCAGGGTCTGGAAGCCGAGCATGTAGTAAGAGGGAGTTTTGGCTGCTCTCCTTATTCCCCTTCCCCTCTTGTTCTTGTACTGCAGAATGATTTGTTTTACTCGGGAGCTGCGGTGGCTCAAGTGGGTAAGACGCTGAACTGCAGGCTGTGGAAGGTCGGTAGTTCAGCCGTTCGAGACCCGAGTATGCCGCATGACGGAGTGAGCTCCCGTCTCTAGTTCCAGCTCCTGCCAACCTAGCAGTTCGAAAGCAAGAAGTAAGTAGATAAATAGGTACCACTTCGGTGGGAAGGGAACAGCGTTCCGTGCGCCTTGGTGTTTAGTCATGCCGGCCACATGACCACGGAAACGTCTTCGGACAGCGCTGGCTCTTCGGCTTTGAAACGGAGATGAGCACCGCAACCCTAGAGTCGGATTCGGCTGGCTTTCGAGCAAGGGAACCTTTACCTATGTCTCGCTCACTGTGTTTAATGTGGCTTACTACTAGATAAGGGAGTCGGGTCCTAAACTTAGGTGTGGAAAACCAGTGGGGAGTTTTGAGGGCTCTACTCTTTCTCCGGGAAGCCTTGTAAATAATTCGGTATAAAGGGAGTTATGTGTAATTAAAAACTGCATGGTTCCAGCTCAGAAGTGTGAATGAAGAAATGATAGACTGACGCATGCAAAAAACGATGCAGCGTGAACCTAGGCGGAGGAACTAGGATAGTAACCTGTGGCATCTTTCCCGGCTTGCCCAGCCAATACGTGGAAACGCCCTGTAGTGTATTGAAGGCGCAGAGGGAGCATGCCCTCAGAAGTAGTGGGCCTTGCTCAGCTTCCTTGCAGCTGCCGCAGCTGCCTACAGTCTTGGGCTTGAGCTCCGTTTAGCCATCTTCATTTTTAAATATTTCCTGCCTAGAAAAGCTATTAGGCTCTTTCTTGCACATTCCTTGTCTCTTACTAGTTGCCCAACAGTTTTCCTATGCTTTTGGTGCTTTCTCTGACCTGACTTCCTTTAGGATATTTTCTTACGGGCCCTTGGTTGCATCCTGGCTTTGCATTGCATTGGAACATTAGAAGGCTTAAGGCACTTAAATCTTCTGTGTCTTTTTTTTATCCACTGAGGCCTTCCCCCTGAGGGGTAGTGGACACTTGGGAAGGGCAAAGTGGAGTTTGCAGTGGACAGGGAATATCAATAGAAATTACTGCTTCCTCTTAAGAAGACTTAGATCTCTTAAGTTCTTAAGGACTTGGTCTGGTACTTTGTGGGTCTGCTGAATGGTGGTGTGTGTGTATTGCTGGTGCTGTGTTTTGATAATCATTGTTTGCTGTTACCTGCCTTCAGTCACGGTTGTCGAAGAGAAAGAAGGACCTACACATTAACTAAAGACAAATCTTTGCAACTGCATGGTTAGATACAGACCAGTATCCTAACTACCTTTCCAACCTTTTGTTTTCTCCATTTCCCTGGTTGCCTGTGTGCATCTGTTTCTCTCAAATGTACACCTGGAGTGTGCAGACTCTCCTTTTGCTCAGCAAGTTGAGCAAATGGCAGTATCCCAACTTAAAATGTATTTGCAGTGAAGGGGATGACAGATCCTTTTCCAAACAGTGTTAAATTTCTTTTCCTGCTGCCATGGAAGGAGGTGGAAGACACAACCCCTGGACGCTGCGCTACAAGCTTTAAAGTCCTGGTTGTTTCCCCACGATTCCGGGGAAAACCACTGCTCCAGCGACACCGGTAAGTGAAACTGTATAGAAAAAATATCATTTCAGAGGGCACTATTAACTGTTCTTGGTAGTTGATTTACCCTTTTAAGGCAGTGGTCATAATCTCCTCTTATGGTAGAGAATTTTATAAACTTATTATTCTGGTGAGAAGTACTTTCTTCTGTCTGTCCTGAATTAGTGCTAATCGTTTTTGACAGAATGACCTCCCCAAAACCTATAATATTACAAAAGAGAGTGAAGAAAAAACCCTGCTGTTCATCCTCTCCATGTAATTCTCCTCCATTAAGTTGCAGCTTTCT